TAGAAATAAAATTTAATTTGACCCGAAATTAAAGGATTCGGCCAAATTATCTTCGTCATCGTTTAATTCTGGTAACATCATATTCAAGGAGCCTTCAAAATTCAAAATAAAATAAAAAATACAATTAAAATACATGTTTTAACCATAAAAACTATGATGTTAATACTTACAGATTATAAACTCTATTTCGGACCAAATCCACATCTATATATTTTTTTATGTCATAGGAGCCATCCCACAATTCCTTTTTAAAAATATTCTTTCTCAGATCTTTTGTGTTATTCTATTTAAAACAGAAGAATTTATTGAGCACATCATAACATGGTTGATAAATACATCACTTTAGACAAAAACTTACAGTATGAAAACTATTCAAATATTCTAAGACTTCATTATCAATCCTTGGTAATTTTTTTATCTGATAGTTACTTATTTCTGTCAATTCTTCTTTCATAAATATTGAATTTTTTAAATAAATGATATCTTCTGGGTCTAATATAAAAGAATGACATAGGCTTTGGAGAAAGATAGTGAATATGTTAACATCCTTAAATAAATCACTGTAATATATAAGATTGATACATACTGCTCATGGGTACACCTAGAACCAAAAGCATATAATCGGTCCTCTACAACTTTCCCTGTCAAAAGTACCCATTTCTCTTCATCTTTCATGGCTTTGAATTCTCTTTTGAATTCCTCCTGGTCCTTCTTCATTATCATTGATTCATTTTCCTATGTGAATTCAAGTTCATTAAATAGTCTTATCCATTTGAAGTGAATAAAATTTTACTTATTACTTACTTTATTTTCATCATTTCCTTTTTTGACCTTCCTAAAAAATACAGGTGGCGGGCGATAACCACCACCACCATCATTAAAACACTTACTGAGCTACTTCTTCCCAATTATTGTTGGTACTTCTTTGGTTTTGCTTACGTTTTGGTGGCAATTTTATTACAAAGAATTAAAAAAGAAGTTTATGAATGATTGACATGTACACATTGATTATTTATCCTATAGTTGGCTCGGTCTAAAGACCTCCTAAATTTTGGGAAAATTTTCAAAATAGATATGGAATCAGTAGTAAAAACATTACTGGTGAAAGCCAATCTGCCAATCTTGAAAATGT